TTCTAACACGCCCCCACATATCTACCTCACTATGTGGAAATATTAGCATAATGCCGCCAAAATGTGCACAGCAAAGAAAGAAGGCGTGGTTTCAGTAACCGCAGTTAATGTTGAAGCAGCCATGTCAGGGAGACGCTGTGTGTTTCTAGGCAAAAGCAAAAGCACTTTATTTGGCCTTCCGGAAGTAGATGCATTTAGGAATCTTTAAGATTACTTACAACAGAACAGCAATTCATTTTATAATAAAAATATACAGCTTTCAGGCATACAATTAACAGAATTGTAATGTTAAACCAGATGTTTAATGCCAACATAGAAAAACGCTGTTAGAGAACACAAGCATGTGAAATGACTTTCACTAAAAACCTCATAGTTACGGAGATAAAGACCTTTTGACAACTAGCTCTAGTCTCTATTCTTCATTCATAATTCATTTTATTTTTATAATTACCTCTTGAAATGGTTCACTACTATAAACACTTTTACGAGAGTGGATATTATACTTAATTCTGATGCTAAATTAATTAATATTGTCATACAGGAGTTACAAATTGTACCAAATGCCGGCAACTACACAGAGGTGGTGGATCAGTTGTTTCCTCTCTTCCCTGATAAAAAGCACTACTCAGACGCCGGTCCAGATCGCTGCAGAACCTGTGCTGTGGTGGGAAACTCTGGGAACCTGCTGGGGTCCAATTATGGTCCTCTCATAGATTTCCATGACTTTGTCATGAGGTAGTAAATTAGATTATATTGGCATGTATTTAGTTGCTTGTAAGGTTGTCTTTCACTCTTTAAGTTAACGAGAGTTTAGAGAATAATGAAGCATCAGTGTTGATGGAATGGATATCTTGTGCATTTATCAACTGAGGCTGTGGTTGAATTCCTTGAGTCATGAGATCACATTAGATCAGGTGATTCCAGATTTGTGATTTCAAAAGATGCCTTAAAGGCTTTTCATTAAAATATCATGCACACCTCAATCTCCTTATTGTTTTTCTCTCAGGATAAATAAAGGCCCGACAGAAGGTTATGAGAAGGATGTGGGGTCAAAGACGACTCACCGGATTGTGTATCCTGAGAGCGCCATGGACTTGGACAACTCCACCCATCTGGTGCTTCTTCCCGTTAAGATTCTGGACATTCAGTGGTTCATCAGTGCCTTCACCACTAAAAACATCACACAGTAAGAATTAAACATACATTTGTGAACGATGCACTGTTAAAGAAGTTCCCTTTTGATACTACACTCGTACTGCGTCTTTGCTAGACGCTATGGGAAAAAGTCATTTTCTGAACTGAAGCCTTTTTCAATCACGCAGTGAAACTGCACGGCTATTGGTTCGTGCAGTATGTTTTAAAAACGAACCAATGACTCGGCAGCGGTGCTGCACAAACCTATGGCAGTGAAGCCCACCAAAATGGGTGGAGTCATCTGGCTATATAAGCTGCCGCTTCGCCATAGGATTCAGATTTCTTCTCCTTCAGCGATGATGACGTTCTTTGCATCTCCGCTGACTGAAGAGCCTGCTCGTTGTTGACACGCCTCGCAGTGGAACGACTCTGCCCGCCTGATTCAGCACCTTTCACCGCCTTCAGCGATGATTTCTACGGCATTGTTTCAAATGCCGCGCCGTTACTGTGGTACGTGCAGGGCTCCCTTGCACGCCGATGACGGCCAGTTTCCTGCTTGGGGAAATCCCACGCCGAATCGAATTGCTCCCACTGTGAGAGCATGAGTCTCGCCTCTCTGCGCTCGCGGATAGCTTTCTTTGCTGAAAGCGACCCTGCCCCTCGCGCCCTCCTGTTTTCTTCCTCCCAGGAAGCTGTGAGGAAAAAACAGCAGGGCAGAGGATCTCAGCCCTCGGATGCGAGCGAACTTACATCGGCTCAGTTCCCGCGTACCTCGCTCTCTCCACACAGAGTGATCTGGTCTCGTTCGGTGGGAGTGACGAGGAGCTGCTGAATGACAGCCTGTCATTAGCAGCCTCGGACTCGGAGGAGCTGTCGGGCTCGATCGCTGACCCCACCCCCCTGCTGCCGTCCGAGCCCAGCGACGTTATACCCGGGACGGCCGCCGAATTACTCCATGTCCTCTCGAAAGCCGTCGAAGAGCTGGGGTTGGAGTGGTCTCCGCCGGAAGAGCCCTCCCACAGCCATGTAGACGAGTGGTTCCTGCCGGGGCGCCGTCAAGCCCCTCGCCAGCGATCCTCTCCTATTTCTGCCCGCCTCTGCTCTGCTGCTTCATCCGCCCTCACCTCGGTCTACGGCACTGAAGGCAAGGGGTATGAGAAGTTGCCTCCACTCAACGAGGCAGTGGCCGCGCATCTCTGCCTGCCCGCTGTGATCGGCTGGAAGGCTAAGGCTGCCCATCCATCTAAGCTATGTAGGGTGACGTCAGCCCTCGCTGGTAGCGCCTGCTCCTCGGCTGGGCAAGCGGCCTTGGCACTCCACTCAATGGCCGTGCTCCAGGTCTTCCAGGCCAAGCTCCTCGCCAGCACAGACGAGTCAGGTCCGGACCTCAGCTCACTTGCAACATATCGATGATACTGTACTTCCTGCAGGAGCTGTTGGACAAGGGACTCTCCCCGTCCATGCTCAAGGTCTATGTGGCAGACATAGCGACTTCTCATGCCCCTATAGCGGGCCAATCGGTCGGCAGGAACAACCTTGTTGTTCGTTTTCTGAGGGGAGCCAGGAGGCTAAATCCGCCCTGGCCTCTCACTGTCCCTACGTGGGACCTGCCCACTGTTCTGAGGGCTTTGAAGGGCCCTCCCTTCAAGGCGCTACAGTCTGTTGACCTTCGGTTCCTGTCATTTAAAACCGCTCTGCTCCTAGCACTAGCATCGTTCAAGCGAGTGGGGGACTTGCAGGCGCTTTCTATAAGCCCTAATTGCCTGGAGTTCAGGCCTGGCAACTCCAAGGTCATCCTGAAACCAAGGCATGGCTATGTACCTAAGGTGCTCTCGACTCCATTCAGAGCACAGGTTATCAACCTCTCTGCGCTTCCTCCCTCAGAGGAGGACCAGGAGTTTAATTTTCTCTGCCCCATTAGGGCTCTGAAGGTCTACACTGAGCGTTCTGCCCAGTTTAGGCAGTCGGAACAACTCTTTGTTTGCTTCGGTGGCCACGCTAAAAGACACCCGGTCGCAAAGCAAAGACTTTCTAAGTGAAAATTTTCTGCTATTTTGCTAGCCTACTCTTCTTTGGGCCTACAATGCCCCGTTGGAGTACAAGCCCACTTAACTAGAGGCATCGCCTCTTCGTGGGCGTGGTCTAGCGGCGTGACCATTGCAGAAATTTGTGCGGCGGCCGGCTGGGCCTCGCCGTCCACTTTTGCTAGGTTCTATAACCTGGATGTCCCTGCCTTGCAGGCAAGGGTTCTTCCTGCTTAACTGGTGCGCAGTTCGCTCTGAGTGCATTTTGGATGTAATATGCCCAGACCTGTCAGAGAGCTTACTTGTGCACTCTCGGCCCCCATGGGTGCAGAGGCTGTGCAAGTCTTCTTGAACAATCACTCGGCTGGATGAGGTCATAATGAAGCTAGCCTGTTAAGCCTGGAGGAATTTATTGTTCTTGTTTTCTTGGGCCCTGAGGTGCTTAAGACAAGAATTATCATTGTCGTTCCTCTGCCATGGCACAGCGTGATTGTACTGTTCTCATAGTGTCTAGCAAAGATGCAGTACGAGTGTAGTATCAAAAGGGAACTTACTCGGTTACAAACGTAACCTCGGTTCCCTGAGATACAGGAACGAGTACTGCATTGCTAGACGTGCCATGCAGCTGCACAACTCAGTCGTCGCTTCAGTCGAAGTAACCTGAATCCTATGGCGAAGCGGCCGCTTATATAGCCAGATAACTCCGCCCATTCTGGCCCATTCACACTTCGCTGCCATAGGTTTGTGCAACACCGCTGCCGAGCCAATGGTTCGTTTTTAAAACATACTGCACAAACCAATGGCCATGCAGTTTCACTGCATGATTGAAAAAGGCTTCAGTTCAGGAGAAAAAATTACTTTTTCCCATAGCGTCTAGCAAAGACGCAGTACTCGTTCCCGTATCTCAGGGAACCGAAGTTACGTTTGTAACAGAGTGCGTTTTTGGTCTGCTCTTTTTTTAATATCATGAAACATTGCCTTTAATCAGGGCAAATTTTTAAATACTTGTTTTGTATGATGGACTCAAGAAAACTTTTTTTATTTTAATTACAACTAAAGAACCTCGTACAGAGTTAATATATTGTACAGAACTGTATGACCTTTTCATAAGCTAAATGTTATTGAATGTTTAATAATTATCTGTATCTGCCAGTTGCAACCTCCATGAAATAACCTTTAAATCAGCCATGGAAGTTAACTCAAATACAAACAAATCAGCAGATTTATCCATATATTATGTCAATTAAACAAAAGGTTTTATTAAGTGAAACTCAGTTTTATGTGGTCATATTTGACTCACATATTGTTAAACACAACTATGACTATGGTTGTGTTTAAGTAATGGAAAATACATAAAATTAAGTTAATGTGTAAATGACGTGCCTCATTTGTAAGTTACTTTGAATAAAATTTTGCTAAATGTAAATGTGTTCTATGTCAGTTATGTCTATGAGTGTTGTTGTTAAAGGTTAAAAAACAGTCTGCAAAAACATTTTGGCTTAGAGCCAATTTTAACGAATGCTATGCGCACACTTTGAAGGAACCATAGCATTTTTCTGAAATGATTATGCAACTTTCTGTGTTCACACAGCTTTTGTCTGTTGATATCTTATTCTGTTACAGAACATACACAAAAGTGCCATCTACAATCAAAGCAAATAAGGACAAGGTGAACAACACAAACTTGAAACCAAACATGAACATGAACATCATGTTTCAAACATGAAATCAAGCAATCAATCAGTCAAACAACAAATGTTAATTTGTTTTGATTTGCATGGTTTACTAATACTACCTAATTGAAATCTTGATATTGTAGACTCAAAACATGATATTAGAAAGGCATGTTTCATAAATGTCCTGATTTATTTCTGTCATTGTTTTTAGGTGATGATCCTCCACCCAGAATTCATAAGATACGTCTATGATAACTGGGCAGAAGGGCATGGCTTATATCCATCCACTGGTTTCTTAACACTGATATTCGCTCTTCACATCTGTGATGAGGTAAAACTCTCGTTCTGAGTCTCAAACTGTGTGGCATTGCATTGCCATCATTATTGGGGGGCGTGTCCGGTGTTACAGTGATCTGAATGTACCAGAATAGAAACCCCAGTGTAAAGGCATCAGCAGAGTGAGAATCCATTTGCAGCTTTATTTAAATCATGGTCGTACAGGCAGGGTCAATCACCAGCAAACACAACAATAGAGGCTGGGCAAATCGTAATCTAAAAACAGGCATAAGGTCAGGACAGGCAGCAAACATTCAATAAACAGTTCACAAGTAATCAGAGTCCAGGGGCAGGCAGCAAGGAATCACAAGGAGAATAAACTTTCCAAAGATTGGGAGCGGGAGGAACTGCGGGAGTCTCGTTTGTAACTCCCAGAATGACAGCAAATATTTGATTGTCGGTGTTATCATGAATAAGAGTCCAGACAAAATCAAAAGGCCTTTCAGGAAAGTGTTATCATTAATACTAGAGGAGCTGAACTCTAGCATGTGCTCCCATGGATGGAGATGATGTCATTTTCCAGTTCCTAGATAATTTATAATAACTGTGAATTATGTAAATTTTATGTCTAAGATTATTGTCATTTTAGAATTTTTATCAGAATTACTGCACTTTAACAAAAGCACAAATCAAGAGATCATCAACTCGCATGGTTTGTTCACAGATTTAATTGCAGCAAAACAGCTCAAACGACAGCGTGCGGTGTGAAAGTATGGAGTGAAAGAAAACAGACTGCATTACACTTTTATTCTCTTATAATAATAATAATAATAATAATTGAATACTGTTATTTTTCATTTATGAGACACTTTGTTAGTAGCTTGCACCTGCGATTGTTGATGAGTTAGTACACTGTAAGAACAATATGCAGAAAAATGGAAAAAGTGCTAGTAATTTTCCAGGGCATTATCCGTTATCCGTTGTAACCCGAAAACACAAAATACAATGCGTAATTAAAAATGCAGGTACAAAAACCTGTGGAAAAAACAATCCAGAAAATTCCTTTATATTAACACTGTA